TAGTCTTCTGGAAAGCATCGCAATCCGTAATTATCCTGATCTTAGATCCTAAAAGGTAATTCCTGAATTTCTTTAGAGCTTCTACTATAGCTAAAACTTCAAGCTCATTACTAGATAGCTTCTCTTGTTGGAGACTAGTTTTTTTACTCATGAAGTAAATGGGGTGTAACTGCCCATCATCTGACTTTTGTAGCAATACAGCACCGAAGCCATGACTGCTTGCGTCTGTATGCAGTTCTAATGGTGCTAGTTGTTTAAAAATATGAAGAACCGGACTTGTTGATAAAAGTTCTTTCAATTTATTAAATGCATCTTTTTGCTCAGGCCCAAATTTGAATTCTGCTCCGTTACGAAGAAGATCACTTAGTGATTTCGCTATTTTTGAATAACTGGAAATAAATTTCCTAAAATACCCAGTAAGGCTCAAGAAACTTTGAATCTGCTTAAGGTTTTTGGGTTCCTGGAAATTTTGAACAGCCTTGGTTTTTTTCAGTAGAGGGGCAAATTGTACAATCCTCAATAAGATACTCGAGAAATTCTATTTTTCTTTTCAAAAATTGGCATTTTTTAAAATTAATCTCCAAACCATATTCTTTGGCTACTTCTAAAATGCGTTTCAACTTTTCTAAACCTTTTTTCTCGTTTCGTGCTGGAATAATAAAATCGTCCATGTAAGTAACAATAGTGTCATCCCGAATTAAATCTCTAAACACATTATAAATAAATCTTTGGAACACACTAGGGGACGCACAAACCAAAAGGTGCTTTTAGAAATTCGTACAATCCTGCATGAGTAATAAATGCCAAATATTTAGTGCAGTTTTCCTCTATTGGAACATGAAAAAAAAACATTTTTTAAGTCTAATGTCGAAAAAACTTTTGCATCACCCAAACCATCTAAAACCTCTTCTACTTGTGCCATGGGAAAAGAATCTTTAACTATTTTTTTATTTAACTGCCTGAAGTCAACACAAATCCATGTCTTCCCACATTTTTTTCTACACAAAACAATTGCCGAAGCATATTCTGAACACGACGGCTTTATAATCCCATCCTTTAATCATTCATCTATTTGATTATCAATATTTTTTTTATCAGCTAAAGGAATTCTCCTCGAACGCTGAGAAACTGGAATTTCATCTTTTAATATTACTTTCATTTTTAAGTCTGTACTGCGCAGCTTTTCTAAGGGTTTATACTCATTAATAAGAGTGGAAACTGTATTGCGTAATCCATGATCTTTAATATGTGATAAATCTGTTTCGTTGTCTCCCTCAATGGCTTCAGAAGTAAAAGACAAAAAATTCCTTTCCGACGCGACGTAATCATTTTCATATCATATTGCGTAAACATCACTCCTTCAGAAGAGATGCGAGCTAGACTAGAAGGCGGTATAATGCATTCCGTTATTAGGTCATAAACCATCGCTGCTTTTATCTCTTTTTGTTTCTTGCTTTCACATAAAGAAAAAACAAACTTCACCATTTTTGCTTTAACCATGTGACCAAACGAACTTTTGAGGTCTCTACAACCATTTGATAATTTATTCGGAAAAAGAAATTTCTTTACAACTATCAATTCACTTCCAGAATCTGTTAAACATTTTACTTTCTTACCATCAATCAACAATTCAATAAATTCTAACTTATTTCTAGCTGCATTATTCGATTCAATCTCTAACCCAGATACCTTTTTTGAGACAAACTTTTCTCCTTTTCTACCCGTTTGGGACAATTTTTGCAAAATGGAATAATTCCCCTTTACTCCCACACACATAGCAAATACGTTCTGTTTTACTACTATTATGATTTACAAGCTTCCCTGAATCCTTGAAATTGTTCTGAGCTTTTCTAAGATTGTTTTTGGAAAAATTAAGTTTTTTATTTTCTGGAGTTTCGATTCGCGTGTTACTAGTATCAACTAAAGATTTACCCCTCATGAATAAAATAAATCACATTCTCTTCCCAATTGATTAGGTTGGAACCAATTTTGGCCCTGCTGAACACTAATATGTTCCTTTGTTTTAGAATCAGTAGTTTCATACAACTTATCAGATACAATAAGATCACACAATTTCTTAAAGTCATCTACCCCTCTTAACTTGCAATAATAATTGGAAGTTGCACTAAGTCGAGACGCAAACTGAACATGCGATTCAGATGAATGTCTTTGAGCATTTTTAAAATTGTTCAAACATTCACGCGGTGTTGGCTAAAATTCTTTCAAGATTAGAGTTTTTAATTTATCATAATCTGCGATTTCCTGTTCAGAAACATACGTTAAAACATTATTACATTTATCACCTAATAAATTAATCAGCACTTCTGATTTTTAACTCCACTGGTACACTTTTAGTAGTAAAAGCTTCCTCAAGTGACTGAAAAAACAAATGCAGAGCTTCCGGTTTCTGGGGTACAGCTATAGTTAGTGTTTTGACGCTTTTAATGATATCTTCAATACTAGTCTGCGCGTTTATTCTATCACTCGATAATGATTGTGATTTTAAACTTTCTAACTCAATCTGCTTCTCAATTTAAGGTAATTTAAGACGTTTGATCTGTAACAGATAGTATTCATTATTTGTTTTAGGCGTCCGATCCTTTGCTGTCTCCCTCAATTCAATCAAACGATTTGACGACGCCACGAACAAATTCAACGTTCGTTTTGAAAACATCAGAATTTTTGATAATTTTTCTAATGTCAGCTATTTTAGCATTTTCTGGAACAGTCTGTTCAATTTGTTCCACAATTACTATTAAATCACTTTTCTTTAAATTATTTAAGAAACTCATTTTAAAAACAAAACAAATGTATCACTATCTTCAAGAAAGAAATAAAGCAAAGTCTTCACAGTACCTTCTCTGAATATCCAAGTATGAAGTATCCAAATATCCCGGACAAGCCCCCAGATTTTCTGTAGTGGGGGAGTTGAAGATGCTAAATAACAACTCCAACGTGTTTTCCACACCACAGAACATTTAATAAAGACAAACAGAAGAAGGTATAGATTAGATTAATCACAAGTGCTGTTTGATCCAAACAGGATTCCGTATAGCTTTTGCCAGTCTTATCACTTAACCGATTAGTGCCTACTCGCACTTTCTGATGTATTATACAGTCCATTTACCACCTTCGTGTGGAAAACTACAGTTCCTTAATCTAAACCTTCACGTGTAAACAGACATCTCACCACCTTCGCATGTGATAGCAGAAGAAAGTCTCTGTCATACTCCTCTTTCACCTCACTGCTGGCGCATCGGTGAGGCCCTCTGGTGGTTGTGTCGCACTTACAGATACTACATATATACATATATTCTAAATCACATTTTTTAGATATGAAAAGCCCAGGTTGAATTTCATCAATTTGCCAAATGGAACAAGAGATGTAAAACTGCCCCCCCCTTTTTTCTGGACTCTATGTACATCATTTTAGTCTATTGTTATTTAGGATTTAAAAGCTGAGGAAGATGGATGTTTCAGTTTTAGAGCTGCTTTAAAATAGTTCTATTTGAAGACTTAAAAACCATAAATTATGATCTGCTATGAATAATGCTGAATAATTTCTATTTAACAACAGAAACAAATACAGTCAAAAGTCGTTAATCCAGACTCGTCGGGACTTCGACGAGTCCGGATTATCGATTGTTCCAGATTATAGATCATCAGTTTAAATCTCGTAAGATGGCATGCAGAAATTCTAAAATTAAAAATATGAAACCGTAATTTATGAAATAAAGAACAATTATGATCTAAAGGGTATCAACATTTACAAAAAAAAAAAAGCTCAATATTTATTTGTTTACTTTATTAAACATTTCTTTCAATGTAAGTTGTTTAAGTTGCTTTGTTTTATGTGATAATACTTTCTCTTTAATTCTATAAGCAGACATAATTTCTTGTTCGGTTACAAAGTTCCGCTGTTCAAGTCCCGTAATTGCTGTGCCGAGAATACCGACTAACTTGTCAATCGAAATTTTTTCGTTTTCACTAACCTCTCTGTCATCTTCTTCATGTCTTTATCAATTTTTTGCAACAATTCCACTTTTTGTTTGTTGGATATCGAAACATACTTTTGTTTTGTAGATCCTTTGGGAGCTCCAGCGTCGGAAATTCTATTTGACATAATCGAAAGTTTAAGTTTACTTTTATAAAATTGCTCTTACAGTCTGCAAAAAATAATAAGCCGGATCCAATTCGAAGATTAAGGTACAACACAATCATCAACATTAACTGAAATAGATAATTAGATAATTTTAGCTCATACCGTCCGTTATACATTAAATGAGCACGCAAAAACGTATTCTGCGTTTGCGCATACACATATGCGCAGTCGTAAAGGTCTTATGCGCACGCGTAAATGCCTATGCGTATGTGTCAACGCGGCGCATGCGCAGAAAGTTTTTAGCTTTGAGGTCTGGATTATAGATCATTCCGGATTAAGGGTGTCCGAATTAACGACTTTTGACTGTATATGTATAAGGGCCATTTTAAGATTAAGAGGGCTATGAATGTTGTATTCATCCTTAAAGTAATACATTTTTAATACATAATAATCATATACATTTTTAACATATATTGCAGAAGGGCTTGTTGTTTAAATATTTAGGCATAGAAATTATACAAGTCTTCTTTATAAAAGAAAGGGAAGGGGAAGTGGAAGTGGAAAAAGAAAAGAAAGAGAAGGGGGAAGTAGGATTCTCAACAGGTCTTTAAAGTGTATTTGTGGTTATTAGAATCAGGTAATATAAATATATAAGGCTTATTTATGGGTAATTTTTACTATGATATAAATTCTTATTTTCTCTTTAATGAACAGTTATTTTTACTAAAAAACTATACTTAATAAAGTATCTAGAATATTTGTTTAAAAACAAATGAAGACTTAAAGTGGATTCATTCTCATTTACATCTTAATGTATAATTACTTAAATACTTCTCTTTGGAATTACTGAAATATTCATTAAGTTCTAATGAAATTTTTCTCTCTGTGTTTTATGCAGGAAAGTATCTACAGCTCTTGTGCAAAGGGGAACATTAAAGAAAGGAAAACTTCTTGTTGCTGGAACTTCATGGGCTAAAGTATGTGATGAGAAACTATTAACAGCTAATAATAACTTGAAATGTTGTAGCTTATTAATTGATACAATTGTGACTTATTCACATCTGAAATATTTACTTTTATGCATTTTAGTCTTTCTTATTGCAGCATGAGTAAAAATATAAATTTTGTGTAAGTAATTTATTGAGAGTAATTTTTGTCGTGTGCAGTCAGGCAAGCTTGTATATATGTATGTGTGTGTGTACGTATGCATGCGCATTTCAAAAAAAAAAAAAAAAAAAAAGAAGAAGAAGAAGAGAAGAAGATGAGACAGACTTTAAAAGATGATAGAATGTATCAAAACAATTATTTTTTATAGAATATATGGCCTAAAATAAAACATAAAATCATCTACGCGTGTTTTATTGTGAAGCAAAGGAGATGAAGTGCAAACACAGAAAAGGTACAGAAGATAGAATACAGACTTTAAGTACAAATAATTATATTAATTGCTGAAAAGAGTAACTGCCACATACAATGATGATGGCAGTGAGGCTGCCAAACTTTCTCAAACATAACCAGGTGCATTTATCTTACAGTTTGCAAGACTGATCAAATTTCTATTAATAAGTTCCTCGGCATATTTAAGGGAAATCTCATGTGTTCATTAAAAGAAATCATGGTATTGAATAGCAGACTAGCTAGAATGACTATAAGACCCTAGATATGGGACCACATCTTCCATTTCAATAGCCCAGGTGACACTCAAATAGTTCTTTATGTCTTAAAATGAGATAACTTTCGACCATGCTGAAATACATACACTGCTGGAACATATTTCAGTAATGCTGGCAAGAATATAAAATACTTACCCGTATCAAGTCAAAGAGTGCATATTCATTTTCATTATTCATTCCAATTTTGTACCAATTCATAACTACAGAAATTGAATCCACTGTTCATTTATTTTTGCAGAATTACCACTTGCTAACAACAAGTATCATTAATAAAATCTGCAAATAAATTTCATTGTATATAAGATGAAGTTAAATAAAATAGCAAATGATAAAATGATGAAGGTTAAAAAATTACTTATGTAAAGAAAAAAAAAAGGTCTCTAAACTTTTTCATTAATATTCTTTATATATTTAAAAAATAGCATTTCACATATTATTAACAAATATCTATTACATATCATTAATAAAAATAAATTGAAGGTGAAGTCTAATTTGCAATTCATTAAAGATTTTTGTGTTGTTTGTAAACCACATGTGGCAATATTATGCCTTATAAAAATATTCCAAATTCCAGAACAAGTCAATACATAAATTCAGGCATATTTTTGGAAATTTTAAATAAAAATTTTTTAAAAAAAGTGGTTTGCATATATGCTGAGAAATAAATCTACAGTTTTATGCCTTATACATCTACAGTATATTCTAATCCTTTGACATAAAAGTATTGGATTATCTCATTTTTGAGCATACGTTTATGACTTAAAAGTATTAGAGTGTCTCATTATTGAGCATATGCTCATGACAAAAAAGTGTTTAGGTACTTTCTACCACCTATAAAATTTGTTCACTTTTTTTTTTTTTTTTTTTTTAAAGCATCCTGTGTTATTTGAGTTAAAATAACACCCCTTGATAATAATTATGGGAGATACTAGGGCAACAAGAATCAGCATAATTGTCATAAATGTTCGGGATTGATTTCGAAGGTTTGAATATAGAACTTTCTTCTTCAGCTGAGAGTGAAATAAAAAAGGAGAAGCCTGTGCTCACACAATAACAATAGACCAGAAATTTAATTAAGGCATAAATTTCACTTTTTTCCTTAATTCCATTAAGAAAAGAAGTAAAGCTGCTAGTGCCACCTATTGATATATTTTTTATGAATTTTTCTGTTATTGACATAGTAGCGGGAAAGGGAGAAAGAATTAGATTCTAAGAGTGCTTCATTTTAACATATGCTTAATGCTTCGTGCATGTGCATTAGACATTTTTCACATCAAAGCATGTGATTCTTAACTTCCGCATTAAATAAAATGTTGAAAAAATATAAACACTTATTGTTATTATTCTATTACTAGTATGCAAAGCCTAAGCAATAAATTAATTTTTAAACTTGCAACCTAGAGATTGTTGAAAAGGCCTTTTTGTGATCAGTACAGTGAAACGCCAACTCAGTAGAAAGGTGATGCATATGCAAATATTAGCACCGTGATGTCAGAGGGTACGTTAGGGCATGCAAAACACAAGCAGTCAACCCGTGCATTGCAAAGTAAGTTAAACTCAGTTGTGCAACAGCCCTAGTGGGCCATGGCCTGCAGTGCTCTGGTATTTGCTTTCCTAACCGTGGGTCCAGGATGCATGAGCATATGCCCTGGACAAAGTGGTCAGCTTGGCACAAGAACCCTGGTGTTTAGTCCCCAAGCAAACTTGTTACTCATTTTATCGACCCACTCAAGGGATGAAAGTCTGAGTCAACCTTGCCCAGCCCGGGGATCAAACTCCAAGACCTGTGTTCCTGCTACACCAATGTGTTAGGCCACTGTGCCACCAGGCCATGTGCAGTGCAAGGCAACTTAAAAAGAAGAACGGTAGGTACATTTCCAGGCATTTTTCTGAAAGTGAAAATAGGATTGTACCCATAGTATGGCTGCAAGAAAACATCAGGATAGCTTTACACATGGTAAAATGATTGGCAAGCCTGAATAGGGACGTAGTTTGATGTCTGTCGCTCAAAAATTTAGAATTGGTGAAAGTGTCATTTCACAATGTTGGAAAGAGCTGACAAAAGGTTGGAAAGGTTCGTTGATCCAGCTGACAGGTACATCTGTAAAAAAGGTTGGTGATAGTTGAGCAAAGAAAACAGTGGTGAATGATAACCAATATGTAAGTAAAAAGAAATTGAAATCAGACAATGGACAAAATTGCTCTTGTTGTTGTGCATGGCAACCAGATGACAGGTGTCCAAGTTTACTGCTGCCAGATAACCAGGTCGCCTATTCATTCACTGACCTGAATGCTGTATACCGGGGATTCCCAACCCTATGCTCGCAGACACCACTGATCGTTTAACATGTGCCTGCCGCTGCTCGATCACAATAAAAATGTTTTAGTTTTCAATAAAATTGTATGTAAATTTCTCATTTTTAATGAAACAGAAATTGCATCCAACACAGATACCAGAACAAAGTGAAATGCAATCAATCTCTCTCTCTCTCTCTTTTTATGCACATATATTATTAATTCTATGCAACTATAAATTCACTTTGAAAAAGTAAATGGCACCCGCCATCCAACAGATATTCTAGAATGTGCTCTTAGGGACAAAAAGGTTGAAGATCTCTGCTGTATACCATTGGCCATTGCCAGCACTGTTTATAGTAGTGTAGAGATCATAAAGACGGTACACCTCAATGGTGGAGTCATGTCCTCTTTACCGATCAGAGTCGCTTAAGTCTGACAAATGATTCTCACTGCTAGTTGATATGGAAAGAGGTAGGGATGTGCTTTCACCCCAGTAACATCAGAGAAAGAGACTGCTTGAGTGACCCTATCATATTTGTATGAGGAGAGGAATGAAGCTTTGTATTTTTTACAGAAGTTCAATTATTAGAGATCATTACTGTTATTGAAGTTATACTCTGCCACATGCATCTTTTTCAGGGTGCCGTTGGTCCCAGCTTTGTTTTTATTTATGGCTATACATGGCCACCTAGGACTCATGCAGTTGAGGGGCTCAGAGTGAAGATATCTACAGAATGGACTGGCCATCATACTCTGCTGATTTAAATCCCATTGAATATGTGTGGGGTACTTTAAAGATCTCTGACAACAGGATCTTGTCTTCTGGAGAACACAAGACAACTGAAACAGATACAGCTTGAAGAATGGAAACTCTTACCCCAAGAACTGTTAGATATTCTGCTGTTGAGTATTGACAGATGATGCAACACAACCATTGCAATTATTGCAGGTCGTATTCCTTACTAAGGCTCTTTGGTCGTGTTCTTCCTCTTGGCCAGACAGTTTTCTGTACCAATGCCATTCTGTTAATAATAAACGTTATGTTCTGCACTGTAGGCATCCTATTCATTTTTGGCTATTATATTTTTCTTATCCTTTAATTACTACATTGTGCCCCTGCAATATTAATTTCATATCTCCCAGTTAATTTTTTTGCAGAATTACGGCCAAAATCAGAAAAGTTGCTTAAGTTGTGCACACTAGTGTATATGATCACTAATTTGGCTCCAAGCATCCTTTTACTAGGCATATATCTTAAACTGAAACATTCTACCAATGTTCATTGTTCATTTCATTATAGATCACAATTTTCCTTTAGGTGTAACAATCACATGAAGTTTTTAACCTTGCTAACTTTAACACCTACTGAATCACTTATATCTCAGATGCCAACCTGACAAATAATTTTTTTACCGTTAATGTTTTCAACACCATGTGACTATCAACTTATTGCAGCTTGATGAATGATTCATGCAATAGTATTTAAAAAAAATTTTAGCAATTGAATACCAAAAATGATGGTAACTTTTTTTTATTGACATTACACTTTGTGATGATTATAGACTTCAGCCATGCATAGTCAATTACACTGTGAAGTATTCAGTGTGTTGAGGAAGAGAAATTTAACTGAAATTTCTTTCCATGTGCAAAAAATAGATAGCATTTGCAAAAAAATTAGAAAAAGTATTCATGAGTAATTGGTTTGATAATCATTTAATACCCGGGGTTTGGAAACATTCGAAATCAATAGGTTTACTAGATGATACAAAAACTGCTCTGATTATGAACAACTGTTCAGCTCATACTTTGCTTAAAGATTTAGGGGAAAAATCTGTCTTAGTCTTTCTTCTAAATTATACATCCATCATTCAGCTAATGGATATATTCTAATGAATTCAGCTAATGGAATGTGGTGCATGCTGAAATGCAAATATAAAGTATCTTTAAAAAAAAAAAAAAAAAAAAAAAAAAAATCTGTGCTAAATTTTCTGAACAGTGCTAGGACCATTCAAAATTTTTTTTAAATATTTTAATATAAAATTAATTGTATGGAGTATTGCAGTCTTGTGAGAGGATGTGTCTGTGAATATTTTTAAAATGTTTGACATAATTTATGGCCAGCTACTATATTTCATGGTGATAATGATGATTATGACAAAAGCCAAGAAGCTGGAGGTTTTGGTATAACGCATGCAAAAAGCAAAATTTTGTAAAGGAATTTGAAAAAGTAGTAATAATGATGATGATACAGTAGGAATTTTTCCATTGTGATGACAGTCACATGAAGGCATCAACTAAAACGAAATAATTTTAGTTGGCTGATAATTAATTTAATAAATGAGTGTGATGTCGGTCAACTAAAAATGGGGTATGCATACCTCAGGAAATACACAAAGTGGTACTTGGGGGTGTACCAAAAAAGTAAGCTCATCACTTGCTAAAGTATGATCATATATTATGTGCAAAATTCTCTAATGGATTGTTGTATCTGGTTTTACTAGTGTCTGGGAAGTTTAACATCATAACTGCATGAGCTTTAAAGCATATGCTTATTGCATTATAACATACCATATCATATATTATATTATCTTGCATACAAGCAAGAACAGCATTAGACATTTTGCTCCATGGTGCAGTCTTTACAATTCCTGAATTATCTTGCCTGGTACATCCCTAAATTCTACTGCTTTGTGCTTCTTTTTAATTCTAAAAATTTTGCTTTCATAAATTTTCCTGTTCATTACTTTCCTGTTCATTACCTGAAAGTCTAAAAATTTTGCCTCCTGTTGTGAGTGCATTGGTTGCACCAGCTTTAGTGCCAGCCCTGGTTACAACTTATAATTATTTTTATCATAGGGTTATGTAATAAAAAATTTTGGAGATCATTGAACTAAAGTATGGCAAAATCAGTAGTGTGATTCTAAATACAGAATACAATAGTGAAGAAAGTGGCAAAGAAGTCATTGAGAGTTAAAAATTCTGGATTGACAGTTTAGTGGTAATTCTTGACGTGGTAATTACAGGATCTGAACAACAGAACTTGGTAACAGAGCAAGAAATTCTGCCTGTCTCTAAAACTAAAGAGTGTATACAAAAAACAAAGCAACTTAAAAAACTTATATTGAAAGAAATGTTTAATAAAACAAACAAATAAATATTGAGTTTTTTGTGTGTATGTGTGTCTGAACTTTGATTCCCTTAAGTACTTCATTATTTCATAAATAACTTTTTAATATTATAATTACTAGACATCCTATTATTAAATTTAAACTAATAATCAAGAATCCAGAAGTTTTTTAAATCTAGAATCATCTGGATTTTGACAATTCTGGTTCTCAGACTTTGTACTGTGTATTTTTGTATACTTATTAGCATAAAAGTTTGCAGAATCTTTTTATTATCTAAGTATCAGAATCTTTTTATTTTATTATATATGTGAGTGAAATGATTAAAATAATTTTTTAATTAAATCAAAGTCGAAAGATCATGTATGACAAGAAAAACTACAAATGAAAAAGTTATAGAACTCTGTTGGGCTACCACTCGTGTGGATTCATTATGGACTGACATTGAGGATAGCCCCCATATGGTGTCCTTCATCATCCCATTCCACAGCTGCAATAAGAACACCTCTAGTTTGACCATTCTCCTATATTTGTCCAACTTGCTTTCTCAAGTGACCCCAGGCATGCTCGATCAGTGAGAAATCTGGGGATTGGCAGGCCAGGAAAGGGTACTAATGTAGCAGAGGCATTCCTGTGACATTCATGTTGTTTGTGGCTGAGCATTGTCATCCTGAAAAATGCCATCTAGGAGCCTTGCAGTAAGTAGCAATACATGTGGTTGAAATGTTGTCATGAATGTACCACTGGGCTGTCGTGGTACTGTGGATCAATATTAGATTGACCAGGTTTGTATCCAAGAATACTTTATACCTTTGTACCAGCTCTGGGAGTGGTGTATCACTGTAAAGCAATGCCAGAATTGAGGCATTCACCATGGGGCCTCCACACACATATATCGTAGCTTCACTGCCCAAATTGAATCTAGATTCATCACTAAAGATGACCTAGTTTCATTTGATTGCAGTCCAGTGCCATTGAGCACAACACCACTCCAGATGAAGGTGATAGTGGTTGGGTGAGATTGGCAACACATGCAATGGGTACTGTGATGCCAAATATCCTTTAGCCAGTGCCTTGTGATAGTATAGACAGACAGAAGGGCCCATTTTAAAATTCTGCTTGGGTCCAAATAATGGACAATGATGCAGTTGGCACTGTGTTTTCATATCAGGTGATGTGACAGTCCTCTCAGCTGTTAGTCTAGTGATGATGTCCTTATCCTAGCCACTGTGTATACAACATTGTCTTGCCCACTAGTCCAACAGCTTCTCACAGTAAAGTGGCTAACCGCCAAGCTGATTATCCCAATAATTCTTCTCCCACTCAAACTCTGACACCTTATCTCATTATCTTTAATGGAGGTGTGATGGCATCCCTAGTGAAAAAGCATTTCTCAGGAAGTACAGGAAAAATGCATTTGCATACGTTTTTTTATGTGCCAGGGAGAACAGAGTTCAGTGCTGTCTGGTGGCATTATCCAATGCACAATTACATTTTATTTCTAATCATTTGCATATCTGCTGAACACATTCCTTTAGTCCAATTTTGTTACAGCAATATTGTTCAAGTTCAACAATAATGTTACTTTTGAATCCATTTAAAATAAAATAATCTTTAGAACTTCTTTTTTAAACAATGTTTATTTACTTGTAAGGAATGCGTACCAAACAGCACTTGGGTGTTTTCTTCTGCTATCTTGGATTGCAAAAAAGTACTATTTCTCAACAGAATCAAAATTTTATTTAGGATATTGCAAGATTTTATAATAGCTTATTGAAATCTTTTGTGATTTTTATAGTTTATTATTTTCATGGAAATCTTATAGGGCAATATGAATTTTAATTGATTTAACCCATCAATGAATGTTGGTAGTTAAAGTCTGTCTTTCAGACAGAAATTTATAGCCCATTAATTTTGTATGCATTTGTATTTCAGACACTTTGCGTTATAAAATGTATTTTTAAATTAAAATATAAATTTCATTTTTGAAAAAAAAAGGAGAACTGCCTGGTTTCCAGGTTTACCGCTTCAAAGTTTGCATCACTATTTAAATATAAGGTTCATTAAAAAAAGTATTAAAAAAAAGAACTACCTAGTTTTCAGGCTACTAATTCAAATTTATAGCCTAACTAAATAACTTTTAGCATAAAAAATAAACTGATATATTTATACAGTGAATGTGATAAATGGATATGAAGATAAAATTATGGGACTATGCACTATTCATGTTCTATAGGTCATTTTTTCTATCATCCAGGTAGCTGTCTAAGAAATTTTGTATTAGCATTTTGCTTTTTATACTAAAAATTGTATGTGTAAATTATATGAATACTATCTGTGTTACCCAACTTTGAAAGCAAAATGGCAATCAGATACTACGTAATTATGGATAATGTGACTTGATTGGTACAATTATTAAGCAATTATTAATGAAAACCCTCATGTGAGAAGATGACCTAGAAAGAAACAGGATATTAAGATGAATTTTTCCGAGATTTATTAAACAGACTCTCAATAGACTAAGTTTTTAAAAATACCACAACAGTATTAACTAGTTTGATTCAGAAAGCATTTCATATACTCTAAAAAATTATAGAAATTTCTTCTTTTAAAACTTCAATTTCGATGGGATTTATAATAGTATACTGAGCAAAGTAATAAGCTGCATCAAATCAAAAAGTTAATGAAGAATTTGGTTCCTAGTGCAGCTGAGCTTGAGTTTAATGGAATCTATTTCTTCTTTCCTGTTATGTCAAAGAAAAATTTTTTGTTGCTGTATGTGCAATGTTACTCTCTAAACAAATACGGGCCTTTGGCTTCTTTTATTGTGTGTAAAGCAAAGATGCTGCTCCTCCCAACACACACAACCACTTGATAGCCAAAAATGAAACTAATGGTTCAGTTACCCAAAAAGTGTTAAAAGATGAAACAATATGCAAGATGGTTCAATATTGCTGCAATCATGCTATTTCTTGGCAAAAGAAATATCAGCTAAGTCAGAAGAAAAATCAGTTTATTATTATTATTATTATTATCATATTCTCATTTCTACACTTTCTTCTACAGAAAAAGAAAATGTCAACTTCCTCAAGGTTTCTGATCAGGATAATAGATCATTCTGGTTATTAGGTATTAGATTTCAGATTTTGTACTGTATATAGCTTGACTTAGCATTGCATAATTTCTGGGTATTCTCAACAGTGAAAGGACAACTGCATAGAAATAGGCTCTCTTTTCAGATGAAGAAGGGGAAAACCTAGTGACTATCACAAAAAAGTGTAGGTCATGTTTTTGAAACTTAACACAAGGGAAACACAAGGGGGATTGTAATTCAATATGACCTCTACTTTTAAAAAGAAAAAAGTAATAGCCCTTGTAAATTTATTACATTCTGAATAAAAGAAATAGTCTTAAGACTTTTCAATCAGTCCACATACATATACACAAAATTACACTTTTATACAGATTATTAAATTACAAAAGTATTACTACTGAATTATATAAATTTGCAAAAGTATTAAACATAAACTTTTTGTGTTTTAGTAAAATTGCAATGTAAGATTTTTCATTGATTTATACATGGAAATTAACTACTTTGATGGCATATGATTTTTAGAAATTTAAGGATATAATGTAAAAATTTCAAATAATATCTGTTGAACTGAAATTTAACTATGTTCTGAAAAATACCTTATCTTAGGTTCGTGCCATGTATGATGATAGAGGGAAAAGTGTTACAGATGTGACTCCTGGTATGCCAGTTCAAATTTTTGGTTGGAAAAGTTTTCCTAGTGCTGGAGATGTTATTTTGGAGGCGGAATCCGAGGTATTAATTTTGAAAAAAGAAAAAAAAAAAAAAAAAAAAATACTCAACTAATCTAAGTTTCTTATTGTTGTTTAATACTTTTGCAATTTTATTTTAGAAACATGCACGCGAAGTTGTAAAATATCGTGAAGCTAAAAAGATGGAAGAAAAAGCTTTTTCTGATCAAGTAGTTATTCAAAAGAAGCTGGATGCTCACTTAGAGAAATACAGAGCAGAAAGACAAGCACGACTGATGCAAGGGCGGTATCGCAAACAGAGGAGTTATTTCAGAGAGAAAGAAAGCATTATAGATGACAGCCCATGTCTAGCATTTGTTTTGAAAGGTCAAGTAAACTGAATTTGCAACTTCTCTAACAGTATTTAAGCTGGGAAAGATTTAATAGATTAATAATATAGGACTTTTATTTAATAACATAAAACTTTACTTTTTGTGGAGAAATTGTTGTTAGTGTTGCAGGTCAAACAACAAACAAAAATAAAGAATATGAAACAAGTCATATTCTTTATTTTTTCTATGAATATCAAAATGTTCTTGTTCTGTATTTAGATTCCATAACCCTTAGTTCTGCTTAAAGTTGACTGCAATGTATTTCTGTAACTTAAAGCAAAATGTAATTTTAGTTCATTCTGTGTTAACGCATTGCATGTGGGTATATTTTGCCATGGATTTTTCCTTGTGTAGCAGGCTTTTTTTCATGAATTTCGCGAGTTTGGTTATTTATTAAAAATATCGCAATAATCAATACATACATACAATGTCCATCATATTTATATGACACCCATTGTCCAGCACAGATCTATTATATAAGTACTTTTACATAGCCTGTGATGTAGTGATAGAGTGCAAAATACGTAAAAGTATGTTCCCCACATGCAGTGTGTTAATATGTTACAGAATTAATCTTTTTTCTGTAATAAAAAAATCAGGATTTCTTACTGAAGAAATTAAATGCTGATCTTTAATGGTTTGAAATAAGATTAGCCTATTAATACATTACCATGAAGTACTTTTTCCTATATAGTTACACCTTTGGTTACAATATTATTATGATAGAAAATGATGCTTAAAATTGTGGTACAAGAGTTTTCCTCCTACAGTAGAACTTTAGTTATTAGAATTTCCATAAATGAAAATTTTCAGTTGATTGGACTGAATGGTAAATCTAAAACTTGTAATTAATATTAACATTTCTTTGTTAATTGACCTTTTTTTCCTTAGTCCCTTCAGTTTCAACATATTGAAGTTTTATTGTTTTATTTTTTGAACATTTTTACAGATTGAATTTCTTTAATATAAAAGAGAGCACACTAATAATACTTTAATATAATATATAATAATAATTTAATGAAGCACATTATAATTTAAAAGACAGCACATGTATCCAGGAAATCTGTGGAAGATTAAAAAACATGATTTAATAGTGTAGTAACCTTAATTTAATGACACAAAATTGTTCATGCTTTGCAAAAAAATTAATAGTAGTAATATAAATATTAATACTATTACATAACCTAAATTATATCCCTATTTTTTTCCACGAAGTATTGCAGTTTATTATTCCTTATTTAGATTCTGTAATCCTTATCCAGTTGTGTTTTGAATTAACAGAGTTAACTGTAAAGTATTTCTGTAAATTTAGTTCATTTTGTTCCAATATATTTCAAAATTCATTTGCATTATACCAGACCCTTCCATCAAATTTTCAAGAGAATTTTTGGCTGTATGTATAGTATTATAAATACCCTGTGTCGCAAAGATACTGCACACTTACAAACACTGAAGCCTTATCTGGGATTTAAACTTGGCCCCAAGGCTATGGCAGTTGGCTTCCCCACCACCATGCCAACAGAGTGACAGTAAGATGATGTTGAAAAGAGGAAGAGTGCTGGATGCTGAGCAGTCATCTTCATTTAGTTGTAATTTTTTTAATAATGGATGTACCAAGTAGTAGAAGCACCCAGTTTAACATTTTGTAATAATATATTTGAAGCAATACAGAGGCAGAGACTAAAAAACAGAATATTTATAGCCATTTGAGATATGTGCCTCTTCATGAATTATTCTTTTTTCTTTTACACTGATAGTAAAGCATTTTAGGAATCAAAAATTTGAATTCTGATGCAATAGAGTGTTGTAATTTTGAGATGCTCTTATTAGATCAAATTTGTATAAGCTAAAGACATTTCTACTGAAAATAACAGCATTTACTCCTGAAAAGTAATGCAGAGTTGCTAAACATCTTTTTTTTTTTTTTTTTTTTTTTTTTTTTTTTTTGTAGTCTAGAAAAATGCCAAATGTTCTTTATTTTAAAATTAAAAATCAGTGTGGCTTCATAAATGTGGCTGAATGATGGCATTTAGTGGTGTATTTTGAAAAGTTTTCACAAGATAATATGGAATTTCCATTATTGGTTCCTTGCAGCCAGTGAGAGAGTTAGCTGTGATTTCCATGCGGTGACATATTTCTTAATAAAAGATTGCCTGCCATATTTTTCATTAATTTTGTTTTCTCTGCTACTTTACATTATGATTGTCAAATGCCAGAAAATGCTGTGATTGGCTAAAGGAAAAATCAGCCATACTTTATGTATAAGTAACTTGCAGTTGATAACTGTGCATAATACAATTAGGCCAATAATTATGTATGCCTCCCCTGCCTGGACAAATGTTTTTGGTAAGTGCTTTCTTATTCTACCAAGACTGCAAAGTAATTTCTTTATGATTATTGCTGATGCAGCTTAATATATCAGAAATGTTACCATACACAAAGATCAGGAACTGCCTACTGTTCATGAATTTATTAATGATGAAAATTCTGCAATAAAGCATAGTGAAGTAATCTGCTCAGCTTTACAGATAATTTGGACTATGTATCTATAGAAGAAGACTGATATACGAGAACTTATGCAACACTTATTTTCCTAAGCTCCATTCCATGATAAGCACTCACCTCTCACATTTTATGCTGTTTCAGTGCAACTTTTTTATCAAGATGCCTTGTTTCTTTAAGCACAAGTTCTTAGGTAAATATTATCATTAAGTTTCTTTGCATTTATCTTGCAATATGGGATTTAATGACCTTTGTTCAATTAGTGACAGGGTCTCTATGTGTACTGTATTGTACAATGTGTTATAAAATTTGTGTTTCGTGCTTTTGAAACTGTAACTTTTAAAACGTGTAAAACCTGTAGATGTTTTATATTTGTATATGCAATGTACCTCCCCTTCTTTCACCAGCTGTCAGTTCCCCTTCCTTTCCTTTTATGGGACCCATAGCTCAGGAGTCTACAAAGTCAGGCTAGCCCATGGAGGTGCAAATTTAATTACACTAGAAAATGCCAAAAGGCAGTCTGCCAAATAACCTTATACTAATTTTAAAGTCACTGCAACACTTGCTTTATCTTATCTGTTGGACTTTGTGTAGAATGAGTTTCATTTGTTTTGTTCATTCTGAAGAATATAATTATTTATTAATAAACCATTTTACATGTATGTTTTGTGTTCATCATATCTCATTTTAATAAGTGCTGTTATCCCTATAAATAAATTATGGAACTGATAAGAAAACAGATCAACCATTTATGTTCACATAACAAAAACTAGGAATACAGTTATGACTGGTCAGACACAACAATTAACCCACAAGAAGCAAAGTCTAATACTAGTCAAAGTGTTTTTTTAATTAGATATATGAGTGTTTTAGCAATAAGACAAGCATAAACGTTCAGATTGTCATAGAAATAAAAGCAATGCATTAGCATCCAGTTTTATAATTGACAAGTTTGTCATAAAAGCAAATTCTAAAAAATAAATAATAGTTGCTTTGAAAATAGTTTAAATATATCATGTAGTTAAATGCTGTCAATCCTATAACTTGCTTGACTGCAGTTTGAAATTAAATTAAAAAATTTTAGCATGATTTGAAAATCTTGCAGCAGAACAAAATCTGAAAACAGTTGTTACAAATTGCTTGGTACAAAAGTGTTAGGAATAAATTTGAATGAATTGAAAAATCATGATCCACCTCTATATTTTGTCTTCAAATTGATGCTACAAAAAATTACAGTATGTATTTAATATTTTAATATGGAATTCAGTATAGTGAATCATACAACTGACATTTTTGAGAACCCAGGTGGATGTGCAGATGGAATGATCGAGAGTTTGAATAATACTGTTAGTAGTCTGCAGGTTAGTATGGACAAAAATCTCTTTTTTTAATGGATATAACACAAATTGTATAAGGGAAACTTTATATATTAATTAAATGAAGGTGGTGTTAAAGCTAATTGCAATTTTCATATTGTTCATAATACTCGTACAGCAAAATATGCTTTGGAAACTTGGATGTGGACATAGAAAATATTACCCTAAAAGTCTATGTCCATTTCATATTGTCAGCAAAGAGATGTGAAACAATTAAAACATCTCATTTAATTGTAGAAACATAAATTCTGTCAAATTCTTAATCATGTTCCTACTAGGCAACTTTCTCTGTATGAAGCCATGTATTAAAAGAATTTTAAGTTCATTGAAAGCCTTAGGTTCTTATTTCTTAAACAGATTAAACTGTTTAATCTAAGCAATTTTTAAATTGGTGATCATTCTGTAGGAACTATACAGGTTATTGAAATATATGTATTGTTCTTGCAACATTTAATGTTAATATTCAGCTTAGCTGTGGAAGAACTACAAAAGAATCAAAACTCTGGTGCAGATGAAACTTAAGAAATAAGCTTAATTCTCAGTATGTTGAGGAATTTGTTTGGTTTTCAAGTTCATCAACATTTGAAAAAGTTAGATAATTAGATAATTCAAAATTTATCTATGACTTTAAATTATTTCTTTCTTTAGAATTATTTATTTAGAAGAACACTTTGATAAAAGTTCCTTTATTGTCAGTTCTAAGTGTGTGAATTAATTCATTTTTAACATAACAGAAATTTGTTGAAGTTAGTGAAGATTTGAAGTTAAAAGAAGAGGTGGATTTGAATATGGATGACCTTTTTTAATAGATTGACATGAATTCAAAAAGTCTTTAATTCTATTCAAAGTTCTGACCATTTTATAAGGTCCAGATTGTCAAGTAGAAAATGGCACATAATTTTAAAAAGTGCTGATTATAACTGTATTAATATTTAAAAAATATTTTCATATCTGTTTTCAGTTCCTACAACGTCAACATACTGTAAAATAATTTTTGGTGTCATGTGAACTAAATGAAAAAAATTGACAAAATATGTATTCAGTTAAACTTTAAAAAAATTTAATTATTTATGTTTCTAATTTAAAAGAAATTTTAATTTCATAATTTGCTGAAAAAATAAAAAGTGATGCACATTTTCTCTGGTTTGCTAAAAATGTGAACAAATGGGATTTAATTTTTAAAAAGTTTACATTAACTTTAGTTTTAAAAGTTTCAAATATTTATTTTAAGTTTTTCTGCATTTTTGAATTAAGCAGTTTTTTAATTCAAGTCTAATGATTATTCTAATAATATATCCTTTCCATTTAATAAGTCACCTAAATTATTAAAGTAAAACTTTTTTTTCAAAGTATTAAAAAATTGTTTGAGTGTAACATGAACATTACTTCTAAAATTATATTCCAATAATTTATAATAACAAAAAAGGAATCAATAAATTTTGTGCCCTTTATTGGAACTCAACAGATTTTTGGCAACCCTACTTGTGTGATATACAGGGTGAGCACAACCACAGTCCCCGGTTTCGAAAGGGAATAACTTTAATACCAAAAGGACTATTTTGCCCAAATTTTTAACATAGTTACATAAACTCATAAACGTTTTGGTGGTATTGATTTGAATCACAAACACTCGATGTGCACGCCACCTATTACGCGGGAAACATCAATACGGTAATTCAGTTCCAACCACACATTGTGAAGCATATCCGGTGTGATGGGATTCACAGCAGCACTGATGCTTTCTTGAAGATCATGCAGAGTTGGCGGTAACAATTTCCTCTAAGACGGAAGGTCGGCCAGAATGTCCTTTTCTTTTATCACAAAAGCACCCTGTCTCACTAAATGTTTTATGTCACTTCAAAATGGATTTGTGTGTAGGTGAATCAAATGGATTTGTGTGAAGTTGAGTTTGAACTTGCTCTGCACTCTCACAACACTGCTTGTTTTTGCAAATTGTAACACACACCAGCTTCGTTACTGCGGGGTGAACGCCATTTTCGATGTCACTGCCCTCTAGCAATCGAAGTCATGCGTAGCGATCCTGCAAAGAAAAGAAATGAAAAATATTTAACCGAGTTGTGTATATTACATTTATCAACATTCCAAGTAACTGTTAATTTTATGACACCTTGAACTCAGGGACTGTTTTTGTGCTCACCCTGTATTGTGATGAAATTAAGAGACATAGATGATGTTGGTTAGCTGGAGAGGATTAAACAATGAAGATAACTCGTGGTCGGTTGATACAGCTCTTTATTTTTAGTAGATTAATATTGAAGTCAACATAATGAAACTGGCGTAGGAAGTGTGCTCTTTATTCCATTATTTCGAGAGAACATTTCACTTATTCATAACATTACAAATGATGAACAAGTGAAGTAGCAGGCTATATGCTGGTTGGGTTGTGCAGAGGCATGTTAAAATATGAGGTGACTATATTATACTATATAAAGGATATATATATTGACTATATAGAGGTGACTATATTATTGCCGTTAGATTAATAATGGTGAAGTTATCATTTTCATTTCATAAGAATAGTACATTACGTTTGGCATAACATAGTTCAGAAAAGTTTATTAAAAGCAATTCACTATTTTACAATGCAAAAGGAAAATAAGAAAGTTTAAAAAAGGCAAATTTAGAGACTGTTAGCAATTTAAAATTGGAATTTTATCTTAAATAGTGTTTTCCTTTGCCATGAAAAAAATAATAATTAGCCTTCACTAAATATTTTATTATATCATAATATATTGTAAACTTATGATTTCATGTTTTGTGTATACCTTAAACTATCCTTTTACTCTAAGATTTATTGTGCATTTCTTAACTTTTATTTTTATTAAACAATTTTTTTAATATAGAATTTTTGTTATATCAACTTTTAATATAATCATGTTATTTTTACTGTAATATTTATGTGTAGGTGATGTTCATGGCTCTGTTGAAGCCATACTGGATGTTGTTAATACCTATCAGTCTCATGATGCTTGTCGTCTTGATGTTATACATAGTGGGGTTGGTAATCTCACAGAAAATGATATTGAGCTAGCTGAAGCATTTAATGGTAAGAATATTATTACACTTTTTATGGAAATTCGGGTTTTTAGGGATGAGGATGAACTTTTGTATTTCAATCTTAAAATACACAATTTATTCATTTCTAAATACTAAAGCTGTAATAACAAAATATGTTAAGAAAATTGACTTTTACTGCTGCAAAATATGTCAAAATTGTAGAAAATAAATGGCCCTCCAAATTCATAGTTTTCATATAGAGGCAGCACAGTTTCTTCAATTTGAATTTATTTATGTGTTTACTATAGTAATCTTGTATGTGATGAAAAAATCTTATGTGTAAATATAAATTCTCCCATAAGGTACTTGATAGGTTTGTCCAGAACTACTATTATTCAGTTTCTAAGTAAATAAAAAAGAATTTTTGTTTTTACATATCACTTTATAACTACTGTGTAGACCAGGGATGATAATTTGTAACATTATTCAGTTATTCTCAGAAGTACAGTCATAGATATTTTTTACAATTATTTTTTAAGATTCAATATTAAAAGTGTATGTGTTATCAAATATATGGCTGATCGGAAAGTAATTTCGTTTTTTCCTAACAGATGTATTTTTTCACAGAAACTTCACACTTAAATCACATAATCATTATACATTTTGACAGCTGATATAGCAAAGCTTGCTTGTGAAAAGTTTGATTGATTCTAACCAGTTTTGGATTGGTGCCCTTTTAAATATGGAAAGTGAAAAGCAGCCTTTTCAACAATGTGTGTGTGTGTGTTTACTATTAAGCAAGGAAAAAATTATCTGATGTGTATGAAGAAGATGTATTGACAGAATGCCAATGCCAAAACTGGTTTACAAAATTTCTATTCAGCAAGTTTGACACCGAAGATGCACCACATTCTGGAAGGCCAGTTAAAGCTGATGAAGACACAATAAAGGAATTAATTGATGCAAACCAGTGAATAACAACTCGTGAGATCACTGAGAGATTAAAATTTATTGAATTTCACCGTTCCTGATCATTTGAGTTTTGAGATTTAAATTTAATCTCAAAACTCAACATATGAGTTTCTCAATTCTTACAGAAAGAAATTTGTGCCACCACCTTGACGTATTTGCCCCTCAAATGTCGAGAACATGATCCATTTTTGAAGCACATCATTACTGGGAATGAGAAATGGGTTGTCTATAGCAATGTTAAATGCATAAAATCTGTGAACACCAAACTTTTCAAAATTTCTTATAAATGATTTACATCCATTTTCATTTTAGATATTTTAGGACCACAACGGACAGTGATGCACGAAGAAACATGTCTAGGCATAGAGTCAATAAGAGTGTGGATGGTGTCCTGAGGGAGGGCTCTGCATTCCCTTTGAACCATTTGCCACAGTTTGTCTTCTGAATGAGGCAGGGGCAGAGTCTGCAAACGGCATCCAATCACATCCCACACATTTTCGATTGGTGACAGGTCAGGAGAGTACGGTGGCCAGGAAAGCATCTGTATACCCTGTAGAGCATGTTGGCAAATGCGACCACTGTGTGGTCAAGCGTCATCTTGCTGAAAAATTGCATTAGGTAGTCCCTGAACATAGGCTTCTTGATTGATCAAGCATGTTATAGGCTTTCAGCTTTTCAACAGCAGAAAATCATGTATCCTAGCCTGTAACATATGTTGCCTATTGACTGCACCAAGTTTGTTATCATGTCAGGCAAAATGTAAAAATTAATAATTTCATTGTTACCATAAAAAAATTTCTCATGAAGGTTGTTTTAAATTAAGAAGTCTGGTTCTATCTACCATGAAGAACTCATAGTATTTCATGTTATAACCAGGTGGAGTGCTTGGATCAAATGTATAGTTCATTTATAAGAGATTATTATGAAAGATTATTATGATTATGAGATTATTATTATTAATGTTTTGTACTGAAAATTTCCAAGGCTGCCTTTACTCATTATAAGCATGTAGAGTAACGGGATCAGTTGTACGACCTTATACATGAATTTTGACAAACTCAAATGTTTTTTTATCTATGCAAGAACCCACAGAAGCAGCAGCTATCAAGCATGCTTATTAAATGAAGGTATAAAACTGAAATTTTTTTTCAATGCATGGTTATTTGTCTATTATAATTCAATGTTTGGAAACAGAGGATATGAAAAAGGAGAATACTGAAATAAATTGACTCTAAGGAACAATTCAGATTTGGAGTTCTTTGCAACTTAAACAGAACTCCCTTTCTGTATTCTTCCAAATCATGTTTTGTAGATACCTGCTAATGTTAAGCAGAATTTCTCTAAATACAAGAATCTGTCAAGTTAAGAGCCCAGTGATGCATGTTCTAAAGACATAAGTTCGGTTTAATTAATTTAACTATGGCAAATCATGCTGCCTAAGGAGAGGGATGCCTTTTTAGAGGACTTTCTAATGGAAACAACTCGTATTCACGTCACACATGAGAAAAACCATGAAAATGCCCATGCAGTCAGCCTATTAACTTGGAATCAAATCTAGATCAAAGTATTAGTGTTCAGCAACTTTACCACTCAGCGACTGGTGGGCCTCCAAAATCAAAGAAGTGTTACATCCAATGCAATAAGTTTCTTAATCAATTCTTTCTTCTTAGTGCAATCCAGAACAACAAGTTTCTTAAGTTATAATAAATGTAATATTTACTTCATTAAGATGATCACTTATGTTATTTAATTTATAATAATATGAAATTATTATTTATTCAAAGATCATTTTACCAGCACATTTTTTGCCCTTTTTTATATGCATTTTCAAAACTTTCTACCCCTTATTTAGTAATAATTCTGTTTTTTAAAATCACTCTGTTATGAAAAAATATAAATTAAGAAATTATATATTTTCTGCAGGTATTATTTATACTTTCAATATTAATGTGCAGCCTGATATGAAGAAATTAGCTAATGAAAAAGGTATTGTTATAAAACCATTTAATGTGATATATCATCTGATTGCTGATATGAAAACAGAAATTAGCAGTCGATTGCCTTTAGTTCAAGAAGAAGATATTATAGGTATTGACTTCCATATCTTTTTTGTTTGTTTTGGAAAACATTTAGGTTGTTTTCTTATTTTTTTTAATTTTAAAATATTATGCATTTTTAATTATGTTTATTTCTTGGATGTTATTAATGTTTATTTTATGTAGTTACTGCCAATGATATAAATAGTTAAAACTGTCTAACTTTATGTAAATACCTATGAAATATAAAGTAAGCACTCGATTAGTTAAGGTATAGATGCGGATGACACCCATAGTTAACTCATGATTAATATGACAGCAATTCAAAAAATATATAAAGAGGAAATAATCCATAATGCAATCAACAAAAATTGTTATTAATAACTTCCCTGTATTTTTAAGCAGTGTAATTTAAAAAATAAGTTTATTTGGTTATTTAAAATTAAATTAGGATTCAAACAACACACTTCAAAACAAAAAGGACAATATTCTTTGTTTATTTTACTCTTGTATTTTGATAGAAGTAAATAGTAAACAGAAAGTTAATGATTTTGCACTTACTTTAATTTTATGATTTAGCAATTTATTTTTAACAGATGATTTAACAATATTTATATATTCCACATTACATGCAATCAAACTGCTTACTGCTATGGGTAAAAGTAATCCCTAATTCTTCCTGTGACATCATCTGCTGCTACTGCTGTTATCTCATGAATTTTGTCCTTCTTTTTGCATTTCTGGTAGAACCTGTGCTTGTTCTTATGGTTTGTGATAGCAATTTTTCCATCGTTCTGCAGTAAACATTTTTTAGGCAAGCCCCGGTTAACCCGTAATCTGGTTAACCTGCCCTTAGTTAACTAAAAGTTGACTGCAGTTGCCCCATTCTTTCAAAATTTCATTAACATTAATTTATTGAATTAATATCAAATATATCATTTAGCTGATTCTTATAAATGTGATTTGGTTTCCTTCAAATCAGTTTTTTATTCTGCTTGTTACAGTTTGTTCAAATTCAGCACTGCCACAAAAGTATTTAACGATGTATTATTGTATTGCATGTGAATTAGCACATTAAAAATTGTTCTGCAAATATTCTGTAAATGTACAAAACATATACAAAAATATTATAAAGGGAAAATCCAATACACTGGAGCAAATAGAACAAGACAGAACATAAGGTTAACAAAAGATACTGTAATTATATATGGTTGCAACATGAGGCAGATTATCAGCTTGACGTCTTACACAGTTGAACCTACAATTACAAACTTCAAGAGACCAAAAGTTTGGCTCTCTCTGATGTGCTTTCTATATAATATTTAAGGCTTTCATATAAATTGTATTATATGAAAATACATAGTTTTAAAGTCAGACTACTGATGTGCTAGTGTTATGATGGGATGAACACTATTTTTGAAAAGTGCTACTATCAGCATGTCAGCTGGTCTGGAAATGATTTTTAAGATGATTATGTTAATGAAATCGTATGAATTTAAGTTCAGAATTCCATCTGAATTTATCTTTGTAGGAAATTTTATTGAACTGTCTTACAACATTAGACTGAAACAAACATAATTTGACAGCAAGGAATTAATTGATATTTGCATGACATTAAAAGATAAATAATTCATGTGACATCATATTTGTGCAAATCTGGTTTTTCACTGGGACTTGTGATAAAAAAACAATTATCATAAGAATGGAACAAGAAATGAGGAGGCTAAGTCCAGTTTTATTTCAAGATTTTAAAAGGATATATAGTAAAAAATATTCCATCCTTCTCAATAATTCTGACTCATTTGTTAAATGATATGATTGTTCAAAATCATACTTATGTTGTTTTACATAAATTTATATCTGAATTTGAAATATATGTTTCATTTATTTATTTAATTTAGCCAGCCTGAGTACATTATTCTCATTTTTTTAACTGTTAGATAGGCTTATGTTTTGACTAGATGGCATGGAAAACTTCTAATTCACTGAGGATAGTGCAAACCAAAAATATCTGGCAACCACTGATCTGAGATGTTTTTGATTGGTGGTGTTTCTTGATTCACTGTTAAGTCTTTTCATGTAGGGTTAATGCATGTTTCAGTTTATTGGAGTTTTATTGTTATTATAGTTCGACTGTCTGAAATGTAACCTTGGCTGGGATTCTGCCAAAGCACATATAATTGTCCAAAAGGGGATTCATTAGTGCTGGGAGGTCGGAGGTCACTTGAAAGTCTTCTCATCGTGGGAAAGAGGGAATGTGTGCAAAAGGGAGGGGAAATCCTCATGTCATCGAGTGATGCTGTCATTGTCTTTTGCATTTTTTAAAATATTTATTTATTCACAGAAATAAATGCTAAGATTTCCATTGGTTTGCAGACAGGAAACCAGTGTTGAAATTTTGTTTTATAATTGATGAATTTCGCATGAACAATGCATATTTCATCACTTACTTTTAAAGATAATGTCACTATAAATCATGGAACTATGTTCTTTAGTGGAAGTATTCTTTTCGTGATAAAAAAAAGGAAACCCTTCAATAAGTTTCCACCCCCATTTGCATGGGATTTATTTAGTTGTAGTTGATTTTAATATGGGAAATTCGTCAATATTGTGTTTCTTTGTGTAAGTGTTAGTGACATCTCATTTTTATTGTTAAAATGAGTCCAGCTGGTAAAAACAAGGTGTTTCACAATGGTGCTATATAATTTCATTATATTTTGTGACATGGATGCTGAGAATGGAGAAATTAGCATTCCCATCTCATAGCCCATGAAAAGCACCAGCAACACTGCAAGAGTATCACTGACAACAATAAAGAAAATTCAGGCAGAAAAGGAGAAAAAGCCAGTTTTCCATTCTCCAAGTGGGGGAGGAAGTTTTAGATAGGATTGGTTTAGGTGGGTTTGAATGCAATGTAATTTGAAAAACTGTTCATAAATTTTATATTAAGGAGGAGAAAATTGCATCACTTTCAATATCACACCCTGTGTTGCATGAAAACATAGATTTTAAATAGAACATAGTATCTTCGAAAGTGAGGCAATTTCGTCATGAAAAAGAACCTGGGTGGACAGTAGCATGACATTCTCAAAATGATGTCAATCGGAAACAGTCTTGGGTGTCATGCAGAGTGGGAATGCATCTAAAAGACTTATTGTTTTATATTTACTAGAAGCGATATGGGATTTTTACCTCATACATCTCTAATTTATAAAGCAAATGACACATTGGGGTATTATCACAGGAAAACAAATTCCTCTGTTTTTGAAAAGTGGATCTCTGAAAAACTCATTTTGAATCTTCCACCAAATGCATAATGATTTTAGACACTGCCTCCAATCCCACAGTCCAATTAAATAAATGTCCGACTATAGCAAATCAAAAAGAAGAAATCCTGCAGTGATTTAAAAAAATGTAGTTCTCTCCAAATTTACAGAAAGTTTAGCTTATGAAAACAAAATGCTCCTAAAGAAAAGTCACATAAATTTGATTCAATGCTCCAAGAACATGGTTTTATGGCTTTACCTCTGCTCCTGTACCCCTGCAACGTTAATGCAACTGAATTCGTTTGGGGGTGAAATAGAGCAGTTTGTATGGAATGGCAGCATGGCTGGAGATATGGCAATAGATAAATTATTAAAAATTATAGAAGGAGGTCTTGAAAGTGTGACAATCGAAGTACTGCACCCATGTAAAAAACGTAGAAAATGACTATTGGAAGAAAGATGATTTAATGGAACATTTATGCAAGTCTTCAATTTTTTCTTCTGATCGAGATGATGACAACTTGGATATGTATAGTAACTGTGATACAGAATAATAAGAAGTATAGAAATGAGGAATTTTGTTTTATAACCCCTCAGTATTTATACTAATGCATACAGCTTTTAGTGCAAAACTCGGAGATATAACTATTTATTAATTATTTATCACTGTATAATTATTATAATTAATTACTAAGAATTTTTTTCAGCGTGTAATAATACACATAAATTTTAGCTCAAAGACAAAAAAAGACAGATTAATTATCAATTATATTAAAATAATAATTTATAGTTGTATAATTATTATAATTATAACAATTATTAGAATTCATTGTAATAATATACAGTCAAAAGTCGTTAATCTGAACACCCATAATCCGGAATGATCTATAATCCGGACCTCAAAGCTACAAACTTTCTGCGCATGCATCAACACATAATGCATTCTCGCATGCGCGTAATACATTTACGCATGCACATTTAATGTATAACGGACAGTATAAGCTAAGCTAAAATTTCTAATTATCTATTTTGTTGGAAAATATAACCTATTGTAACCCTTTTTCTACATCATCTCTCCTCCTTGAAATGATTCTAACTTTTACATAAGTTATATATAGAACATCTAGTTTAGTTCTTATTTTAAAGGGATATAGTAGTTACTTCTACTTCGTTTTTCAATGCCACTGTTTGTATTAAGAACGAACTGTTTCAGCCTAATTAAGATGCAAAAACGAAACTTGATGTTACGTCATCTGGAAAGCCGAGTTGTGCCGATAGCTGATTGGTTGCCGTGAGATGACATCATGTCTACTTCAGGTATAAGTATCTCGCGTCGCTCTGGCTCATTCCTTCTAGTTCCTGTTTCTTTGCTCCTTGGTGTGCAGTTTCCAGCCCCCGTTGGAAGACGATATTGCGATGCGTGCAGTCCGGTGATAAGTGCCGTGGTTCCAGTTACAAGATGATTTTCCTGGATTCTCAAAAGAGGCTATGTGTGAGCGACTGCCGTGGGCGGCAATCCATGTTCTTCATAGATCGGCGGCATTTAACACAAGTTTGATAGAGATTTTTCCAAGCTGTGATTTCCCCATGTGAGCAACTGCAGTGAGCGGCTTTTGCCAGTTCAATGTGCACTCAAGGATTTTAGTTTAATTTTCAGGTGCCTTCTTGGACCAATGAAGCATGGACCTTATTTAATAGTGGTAGTGAAATTCATATTAATCGCTGTAGTTTTTGTTCTGTGATATGTTTTCGCGTATTGAATTGCCAGTATTTAAAGATCAGGTAATATATTTACTGTATCATTGATAGTGTAATATTCTTTAAATGAAAAACCCTTGGGGTTAATGAATTAGTTCAACTAAGTGTAATTTTTGACAATGATGTTATGTTACACTTTTTTTTTTTTAAGTTTCTGAATATTGATGTAAATTTATTTCATTTGTTTTTATTTATATATATTGTTAATAAATTGGTTAAGTTTAAAACCTTTTTTTGTCTTCAATGTCTGCACTGCACATAACCTTAGGGAACTTCTATTGCTACTGCTGCTAAATGTTTAATTTTACAACTTTAAACTTTGCTTTTGCATCATATTTCAGTTAATGTTGCAGATTGCGTTGTTCCTTAATCTTCAAATTAGATCCGGCGTATTATTTTTTGCAGACTGTTAGAGCAATTTTATAAAAGTAAGCTTGAACTTTCAATTATGTCAAATAGAATTTCCAATGCTAGATACTGCCAAAGTATCTACAAAGCGAAAGCATGTTTCAATGTCTATCAAACAAAAAGTGAAATTGCTGCAAAAAATGGATAAAGGCATATCCTTTGTTTCTTTAAGCATTCCGAAATCTGTTTATCAATTTCATGCTGCTCTGTGGGGGGACGTCGTGGCACGCAATGAACTGCAAATTGATCTGTCAACACTCTCCTTATCTTCAGGGAAGATGTTTTTATTTTATTCGGCTTATAATTCCTTACTAAATGTAGTATTTCATCTTGATGTACTCTGATATGATTTAAATCAAATTCATTATAAATATCATGAATACACATCAAATAGTGTTGTGGTTGCAATTTTCTAATTTCTACTAGGCGTAATGTATGCTTTACAAATGCGCGCTTTGAAAGAAATGTTTAATAAAGTAAGAAAATAAATATTAAGCTTTTTTTTTTTTTTTTTTTTTTTGTAAATTTTGATACCTTTTAGATCATAATTGTTCTTTATTTCATAAATTACGGTTTCATATTTTTAATTTTATAATTTTTACATGCCATCTTACGAGATTTAAACTGATGATCTATAATCCGGAAAAATCGATAATCCGGAATTGCCGAAGTCCCGACGAGTTCGAATTAAAGACTTTTGACTGTAATAAAGTATAATAATTGAATAATTATAATTACAATAATAATGCAATAAAATTTACTTATTACATTTTATTATAAAATAATGTATATGTAGCAAAACTAATTTGGAAAACACTTGTATTTTTGTATATATGTAAATAAATAAATGCATAAAATTAAATACTAATAAAACAGCTAATTACAGATGATGATCAGCATATCAGCTTAGATTATTTAAAAGTAATTTTCTCTTTTGTTATGTCTATGTGTTGTTTAAATGCCAAGGAAACAAACAGGAAAAAAATAAGAATGGGAAAAAAAAAAAAAAAAAAACATCTATATGACATGATTCATGTCCATCCACCCTATTTTAAGAACAGATCAGTCCGAATGCCGCATGTGTGTTTGTGCTCATGGTTGCATTTGAGGAGGTCAAACTGTATTTCTTTTTAAAATGTATCTTATTTTTATTTAATTCTTATTTTTTATGATGAGTCATATAACAAAATGCTCCACTAAAGCAAAGTGGTTAATGCTGTAGATTACTATGAGTTTGATCTCAGGAAAACAGGCTGACTGCATTGATTGGTTTTCATGCTTTTCTAATCCTAGAACAAAATATCATTTTTTAACGATTAATGACAGATTAGTTTTCCAAAAGACAAAATTGCATTATCTTCAATCAACATGAGTATATGATAGTAAAGAAGAGATTAGAAAGAATGGCAGATATTATACTGAAAAATCAGTTAAACATTTTTTTTTAATGCTATTGAAATGTTTGAAGTAATTAATGAAATACCAAACTATTAAGTATACCACATATTGTTAGCTACAGTTTATGTTTTTAAGCTGCATTCAAAGTGAATTACGGCATATTTTTAGTTTATTGTAAGTTAATACATAAACTGTGCATAAATGGCTTATATTTTCAAAATATGTATGAATATGCCACTTTTAGTATTTGGTCAATGGGAAAAGAGAGGTCAGTCATTAAAATAATATATTTCAATTGTCAGTAAAAGTAAAGAGAACGTAAAAGTTGTAGAATAACATACATGTAATTTCTTCCCAAATAATAATGTCACATTTTATTTCTACGTAGTCTTACAGAAATCTGTATTATTACATATATGATTCTGTTTCTGTCTCCATTTTTTGTTTAACTTTTTTTAACATAAAAATTTGAAAGATATCGTAATATTCAAAAAATTCTTGAGTGAGAAGCTCAAGAACTTACTGTTTATTTCTGTGATATTAGAATAAAATAGCTGCATGCATTTTATTTTGATTAGTTATTTATAAATTTTACTTTTCTGTTGTTAATGAAGTTAAATTTTATGTAGGAGAAGCAACAGTTTTACAAGAATTTATAATAAAAGACGGAAAAAAGAAAATATCTGTTGCTGGTTGCAAGTGTGTGAAGGGTATATTAAAAAGGAACAGTTTGTGTAAAGTTATTCGATCTGACAAAGTTATATATAATGGCAAGTATTTAATTTACGGAGTCTTCTTTTATGATAGAGTTTAAGTGCATGGTCGAATTGTTTTTTTGATATGTGTCAAATGGTTTTAGCAAATACAATAGTAATACAATCAAATATTAATTTTATGCAGTCTTTTCCCCTTTCCCAATTTTCATTTTTAACATTAATTATATCTATCATTTTTGTAAAGCAAATACTGTTTTCACTTTCACCGAGGAAGGGAAAAATTCAATCAGAAATCACATACTCACTATCATCATCTTTTCACATTGTTACAAGCTGAGATACTGTTATTTCTTTATGTGTAAAGAATTTTTTATTTTAAATTTCATAGACCTACACATAAGACCATTTGAGATTTAATTACTGAAGAAAGTCTTGGTAAGCATTACAATGAAAACATTCACACTCGTCTAATTTAGTTATTTTAATCACTATAAAATTTATCGATAGAGTTAAATAATGAAAATTTTATAGATAGCAGTATTGCAATATCAAGAATATGGTACAAAGGGGGGAGGCGAAATTAATCAGTAGAGCTGACACACGATTTATTACACAGGATGTTTAAAAAAGAATCATCTGATTTGAAATGCATATACTACAGAAAATAGTGAATATAAAAACTTCAGATTAAATTTATATTACATGGCTAACTAAAAGGTTTTTTTTTTTACAAACCAAATTAAAGGTGCTAAATACGTCCCAAACTTTTGTGAAAATATCTGCATCTACTGCTACCATGGCTGTTGTTATATGCATCTTCAGTTCAGCTAATGTAGCTGGAAGTGAAAGAGGTACACTGCGGGAAAAAAAAAAAAAAAAAAAATCTGAAAGTTTTCAGATTTTATATTGTGTCTAAAGGGGTGTTTTTTTAACGTTTTGTGTGTTACCTGTATTTATTAAATATATTCTTTGCACTTAAACCATAAAATTCAGTTCAATAGCAATGCCGCAAAATAATTTTGAAATGAGCATATCTTTAGAATTTTCCGATACAGAGACTCACGCGCTGGAGATAAAAAGGTTTTTTTTCCCTGTAGAATGTTGCAATTGCTTGCTTTGAAATCCTTGAGTTTGTTAATCAAAAATTCGTTCAAAGTTTTAAAAAATAGGAAATCGATCATAAAAACAAATTTCAAATTTTAAATTTGGTCTTCCACATGCCCATATTCGTTGGAGGATTGCGTCATTCAAAATTCAATGGCTCTATGTACCATTGGTTTATCACAATGCAAAAAATATACATACATTTATGCAGATTTTTCATTATTTAATTTCTTCAAATATAATGCAGGACTCTAACACTTGGTGGCAACAGTTTGAAAAGTGAAACGGACATTTATGATTCAACACAAAATCACAAAATGAAAACAATAGACCTTCAGGGACAAAACCGCTCCGTTCTTCTGAGCCGATTGATGAAATTCAAATTTAGTTTTTCATGTCTCGAAAGCACAACTTAGGCTATATATTAGATTTATATATAGCACTGTTCTAACATAGGTAATTTGATGCAATTCGGACTTTTTCTAAAATAGCATACCAATGCTTTTACATATTTTGATTCTACAACTCAAATTATGCCTAAATGTTAAAATTTGTAAAATCCAACAAGAAAATCTGTTGATGCATGTTAGACTATGTTATTTAATGACAGTCCCGTATGCGCTTCTCATTTTATAGCTTAGATATCCAGTTGAAAAGTCAATTAAACAGCATCAAACGATAGTTTATTTATCAATTATGTGACAAATAATGACTATAATGTTTAGCAAAATTTAAATGGCAACAGTAGACAGAATTCTAAATGGATTTCAAAATATATTTATTTCATTCATGTATTGTACTTCTGTGACAGATGAAGCAAACTTAATGGCCTATTTTTTAGCAGGAATATCTCCCCATATTTCTAGAATTCTAAATATTTATTGTTGAGTTTGCATTTAGTGAAAGGTGAACGTCCTTTTGTTAACATGATAATAAACTGGAAAATTATACAGACTTGTCCATCGTTGTTAGTTACAATTTACAGCTTTGCAGTGATAAAGACCTTATCAAATTAATATGGCTTGCACAAAATATGGCATCTAGTTCTTGATATGTACCAAACTTTAATTTGGTGTGTCTTGCTACTTTAACATTCTGGCACTGCAGACAAGTTCTTGGCCAAACACATGTTTGTTTCTTCATCTAGGACCATACGAATCTGGCAGTTACTAATTTTACACCAGGATGTGAAAAACGATGAACGTGAGCAAAATTTCTTATGAAAACTTTGAGGTACACTGTGCCAAAAAACAAAAAAAAAAAAAAAAAAAAAAAAAGAACAGTTGTATATTTTCTCTTCTACTCGGCTGATTGACCAAATTCAAATTGAGTTTTTCATGCCTTGAATGCGTGACTTAAGCTATATATTAGACTTATACAAAGCACTGTTTTAATATACGTATTTTGACACAAAATCGGACTTTTTCTGAAATAACATACCAATTTTTTTACATATTTTGATTCTACAACTCAAATTATGCCTAAATATTAAGTTTTTTTTTTAATTTGGTGCGAAATTTATAGAGAAATTCAAAAATTTATCTTTGCACTTTTTTCCAGTTTCGCCAAGAATAGTTCAAGTGGCGAACTTCTTAATATATTGCAATCTATTTTCTTTTCCATTTTTACATTGTGCATGAGCGGGAAAAAAGTCACTTGGTTTTTTCTTTCAAATAATTTTCTTTATATTATATTTTTAATTATAATTGTTATTATTTTAAATATTTTTTTTCAAATTTTCAAATTTCATTTTAATTCTTTAAGTTGCATGGTTTCTTTCAAATAACTAATTACTACTTTATTTAACTTTCCAATTTCTGTACCGTAACCAGCTTCCTATTTATCTGTTGCATATCTAAATGGTTTTACGTGATAAAGTCCGTCATATCGTTTAGCGTAGCATAATCTATCCCAATTATTAAAGTATATCCACATCTTACCTTTCGAAATCACAAAATGAGCACCTGCCTTTTCTAACCTTAATCCTGATAGTAAATTTCTTCTTAGATTTGGATTATATAACTCATTATCTAACTCAATCCAATTTATTCGATTGCCTACTTTTACTGCAAATTTGACAGTACCCTTTTTCCTAGCACTTTACTTTCACAATTTCCTACAGCTAAAGACATATACGTATATCTTTTATTTCTTCAAAATTTGTCATTAAATTTCTATGTTATTACAGAAATGAGTTGTAGCTGCAGTATCTACGACCCAATTAAATTTATCTGCGTTACCTCCTTTATCTGTAGTTCATTACATAGTTTTCTACTAATGTTAATTCTTTATCTTTAAACTGTCCATTTTTATCATTCTATTTTAAACTTCTGATTTTTACTTACATTTTCTTTACATTGAGCGATTAACGTGTCCAAATTTATGACATCTGAAACAAGGATCCTCTTCTCATATTCCCCATTTTTTTTCTTAGACTTAGTTTTATTTTCAACTCTTATCTTTCCCTGCATTTGAACTAATAGTATTAAACACGCTTTACCTTGCTGCTGTCTTCATAAATCGGCATTTTACCTGGCAAAGTCGCCTTTCTTCCCTTATCAGTTCTTCAGCAATTCTTTCCAGCATAAAATCTTCGTCCTTCCACCTATATATCAACTGTACAATGCTGGAGTATTCCTGGGATAATCTCCTTACTGCCTGAAATCCCTTAAAAAGATCTGCCAAGCTGTGTCCAGCTTCAGCCAACTTCTTTGCAGTCATTCTCATCCTCATGATGAATAATCCTGTTTCTTCATTTGGGGTATATCTAATGCTAAAAAATTCATCCAGTAACTGAATTATCCTTGCTCTTGTTTTGAGTTCAAATTGCTTCTGTAGAACTTCCCATGCTTCTTTACCTCTTGAGCATTCTTGTGAATTCCTGCTTTTCATGCCTTGTTGCACTTTTATCTAATTCTTTTTCTTTGTCCTCTATGAAGCTCCAACAATTTCTATCCAGTAACAGCATTTTCATATTGACTTCCCATCGATCCCAGTTGTCATGGTTTAATAGCTCAAAACCTACAGGTAGTAATGACATCTTAAATTAAGTGTGAGCACAACAACTTGAACAAACTTCTAAAACAGGTCAGCTTCTTTTCGTGGATAACGGCCCTCTTCACCTACATTCCTTCAATGCTGAGTTGAACTGGATGACAGATTAGCTGTTGGTGCTGAGCCCATAACCCTGTTGGCAGTGGCAATAAAGGCAAAGCATATTTTGCTTCCCTTAAATAAAGCTAAGACTAATCTAGATAAAATTCATGCTTTATTCCGTAAAATAAAATAAAATAAGCTAAAACTGTAGCCTTTACATTTAAAATCATTTGAGTGAAAGAATACTAGCACCTACTACCTTAGTAAGTTTCAAATTCTTAGACGTGCGCTGGTTTCACAGTGTGACCACCACCTACAAAACAATGGGCAAGAGTAGATTTTTTTTATATTACTTGTCTCTTGGATCATAATATTCGATTTCTAAAGTTTTAGTTAAAAAATTATAAAAATAATATAGCATGCATCAAAGGGTTAAGCATAGCTGTGGCAATTCACTGTAACAAAATCCATAAACCACATTTGGTGTTATTATCGCTCAGAAAAAAGATGCCAAATTTCAAAACGTGCCCATATGAGTGTGGAAGATGATGAACTTGCTGGGTGCCCAAGGGGCCCCCAGCACATTCATCATGATTGAGTGGGTTCACAGTAGTCAGACTGTTGATCAACACTACTACATTAAAGTAATATAAAAGACTTCTTGACAAAATTAGGAAAAATGGCCACATCTGGGGAGTGATGGATGGCTGTTGCACCAGAACAATGCGCTCACTCACACAGCCCTATCTGTCATGCAGTTTCTGACCAAAAAAACATTACTGTGATGGGGGCATCCTCCTTTTTCACCTGATTTGGGTGCATGCGACTTTTTTTTGTTTGTAAGTTAAATCTTG